ATTGTGGAGCATTCTGAAGAGGATGGTTTATATTGGTCGATGGCAATTTAAAATTCAGTTAACAACTGTGTCAGGCTACGAACTTATTAAGCCAAACCTCAGAACTCTGTGGTCTTCAGTACTATGCTTGTTGATGAAATGGAAGTTAGAATTATTCTATCATGTTTGAATTCTAATAAAGTGAAGTATAAAGAAGCTAGCTTTCTTTAAGGACATTCGATCCCAATAATAGAATTTTAGAATAAGTCCCCAGGAAGGTAATAAAAACAACATTTGACTTTTTATTATCTTAATCTATAATTTTAAAATTTCTCTCCCACATCTGAAAATATTCTTTAGACAGACAGAGATATCTGAATAATCGCAAGTGCTACTCAATTTATATGCACCCATCCCCACAAAAAAATTAATTTGGAATTTAGTTGGAATTGATAAAAAATACTTGTCTGGTTTGGAGAAAAAAAAATCAGATAGTAAAAGAACCAATACCTACATAGAACACAGAAGGGAAAAAGTTGAATAAAAAATATTTTCTAAAGAAAAAAAAAAAATTTAAAAAGGTCAATATAACTTGATTCTAAAAAGATCTATCTAATTAGCATTATACAAAGAAAATGAAAATGTCATATTTTAAAATATATTTTAACAATATGTAAGTTGTAAGAGATAACTACAATAAAAAATATCAAACATCAACAACCAGAAAATGTTTCATAGATTCACTTAAAAGGTTAAGGATTGATCTTTGAGTAATATTTAATAAATTTACTAAAAAAATTTTTAATGATGAAAACATTGAAACCATAATTATCTGCTCCAACCCTAGGAAAACATATTTCCTGCAAAAAAATGTGCATGACTTAATATCAGTCACTTTTTATTGCAACTCCCAGATTATCATTTCAGTATTGTTCGTCAGCATTGTGGATCACAACTGAAGAATAACAGTCAAGCTCACATTTCTACCCTTGGAAACCCTACCAAAGCAGCTGCCCTACCACTTAAGACTATTAAAAGCCAACTGGAAGAAATCAATCAAAACTATACAGGTTTTATTTCTTATTTTCCCTGATTACCTGATATGCTGCTACTTCTGTTTACATATACTCATCATATTACATGTAAATTAATCTTTGAATTTTTAAAAGTAGCACAATAAATTTATTTTTGACAAGTATTTCTTCCAACTTCATTTCAGTTGATTTTTATTACAATCCCAGGAGTCCCATTTCATGATTGAATAGTAAACAATTATTTCCATTATATGCTTACTAACAAGCAAGAAATGATAGTTTAAGAGTTTCAACAAAAAGCAATTGAAATTAAGATGCAAGATATACAACTAATAAAATGTAATATCTGACAATATTATTACATCTAATACTACCAGTATAATAAAAAACAGGAGAAATAAAATAAAAGAAATGAGAATCAAAAATGAATAATAATAGACATTGTTTCATCTAGGGTGTTTAGATATATGCATACACATATTGCATCAAGTCTGTTCATGGGAAAATCTGCTTCTAATAATGGTTATCTTACATAGGTGAATTCTGTAACTATTTTTTTCCATTTTGAGCAATATTCATTTGATCTTTTTGAAATTTTACTTGGCAGTTCCATAAAACATTTTTAGGAAGCAATAAAAGTCAATGAATTACATATTCTATATTTTTATTTTAATATGATGCTTTTAAGTTTTATCAAGAAGAAAGATTTTTTTAAACACCAAAGGTCAAATTTTTATAGGATCTGAATTTTTTTCTTTGTTACTTAAAAAATAAACATATATATATATATATATATATATATATATATATATATAAATGAAAATATATAAACACTAATCCATTCAGAAAGACGGCATTCATAGCTGAAATCAAATTAAGTACTTATGTAAAAAAGAGAGGAAAAGAAATAATCTATAAGTAAAACAGTTTGAGACTGAAAATAGTTGAAAAGTGACAAAAGAGTAAATTTGTCATCAAATAATTACTTTTTTCCTTATTATCCAAAAGATCCTTTATACAAGATAGAGTGAAGAAAAAAAACACATAAAAGAAATTGTTTTTATCTTTCAGTACAGATATTCTTCAAATAAAAAATAAACAATTCTCTTTTAGGTTTGACATGGCAGTGGCTTATTAATTATTCTACAAATCTTGATTTATGCAATAATTTTCTTTCAATAATTTTTCACTTTGGGGAATAAAGGTTAGTTTTTTGTTGAAAATCTTAACTCCAAACCATTTCATTGTAGAAAATGTTTAATTATTTAAACAAAATTTTGATGAATCTATTTTTAACAATTTTACAAAGAAAAAAAAAAGAAGAAAATAAAGTTACTTTTTTTTTTAATTTGAGATTAAATAAACATTTCTGCAAAAACGGTCTCATCCATAAAAACTCCTGAAGAACAAATTGGATATGTTGCATCTAGTGTTTTTTTCCCCAAATTGCTAAGTAGTCCTCATCTTAACAAGAGTATAGTTTTAACTGGTTACCAAGATCTAGTGTTAAAGTTTTGTAAAAGAGGTACTTTTCACTTCTTCAAGCAATAAAAAAACAAGCAAAACAGATTTTAACAGTGTTCAAGAGTAATATTTGTTGTTCTGAAAGCCTCTCTTGTTAAAGATAAACATAAAACCAAGGATCTTAAAAGAAAAAAAAAAAGGCTGTTAAATTTCTTTTTTTTTTGGTAATATTTACAATTAAATTTACTATGTTACCTGGAAAAAGGAAATTTTGACAGAAATTGACATTAAATACTATTTGGTATCAACTAGATAGCTGACCACCTAGCAATCATTAACTCAGTTCTATTAACCTTCTACAAGTCACAAAGGAGCCATGATGTCAATTCATTGCAAACAGTTTTACTTTATACACAAAGTAATCATTTGGATATTTAGCAGATTAAAAGAATGAAGATGATAAAATCTAAAAATGAAGGTAACTCTGAAGAACAGGCTTGGAGGCAATTAATGTTCAATTAATAAATTGCTGTTCTAGCCTTCATTAATATTTTAATGTTTATTTGCATTATCATTGCTCTCAGAATGAATGTTAATATTTCTGATATAACAGTAATGTACACTTATAAGGGCTATTCACCTCTACAAACAGCTTATTTAGATATTTTTCTAATGTAGTTTAAAGTTGAAATGAAACCAAGTTACAGACAATCAATATGCAAGAAGATTATTCAGCACTATCATGATCCTAGTAAGAGGATTGGTTAATATTAAGAGAGATCACTCTTACCTACAAGCATAAGTACCAAACATTATTTGAAAATAGCACTACTATTGCTCTTGACCTTTTTCTTTTTTAGAGGAGTCAGGAAATATACAAATTCCAAGGGTCACCAGACTTACATTTAGTTCTATAAACTTGCTAGGTTACAGTGTTGTTGTGATTATTCTTTTATGTACCATGCCTCTTCAGGACGTGGATGTTCTCCACATCTTATGCTTTTTGTTTCTCTAAGTAACTTTTGACCCATTATTATCTCCCTTAGTCCTTGTTCTGCCATCCATTCACACAAACTTGTGATTTACTGTTTACTTTGGTGTCTCTTGCCCTCAATGTCCTGCGAAAAAATTTCCAGGTTTTTCTTTCTTCACCTATGTGTTCCAGAAAGTATGGGTTTATTATGGTGGTGGTGGTGGTGGTGTGTGTGTGTGTGGGGGGGGATCAGTGACTTCTCTTGATCACTGAATGCAAAATACAAATAAAACCTCCAAAGAACACATCAGCCAAAACCAGAAAGAGGGGACTTATCTGAATAAAAAAAGTTTCATTCTTTTACAACTTTGAACAAGACCAAAGCAGAATTTCATCAAATTATAGTGGTCTTTCATCATCATTTTACTCTTTAGTGAAAATTTGCTTAGAAAAATGTCTATACATTATTAATAGAATATATTCAAAGTTAAAGTTAAGCATTCACAAGATACATGTAGTTGAATGATGGCAATTCAGGTTTTTTTAATCATTTCACCTCAAGCAAGGTGGTAATGCCACTAGATGCAGGAGGTTACAGAAAGTGAAAGAGAAGACAGAACAGGAAGGATTGAGGAAAGGACAAAAGGTGAATGGAATTCAAGACAGAAGATGGTGATTGACATTGCATTTAAACTTGTAGTTATCAGGGAAGCAAGGAAATGGAAGAGAGTTCCACAGGTGGGAAATGTGAGAAAAACTGTCGGAGTAGAAATGGCGGTTGTATTTAGTGATTTGATTTATGGTTATCTTAACCATAACCAAATCAAATTGTATTTATTTTATATCCTATTGCTAAACTAGAAGATCACTTGCTAAAAGAGAAAAACCACAACCCACTATGGAATATTTATATTATAGAGAAAATTTTTTCTAGCCACTCATGAAACTGAAATATCACTAGAAAAAAAAACCCATTATATTCAATGGGGATAAAGCAATATATTAATATTAAAGGGATGCTTAATAGGTATACCAGAAAAAGGTGGTCTTTATACTTTGAGTACTTTTCCCTTCACCATCAAAAATGTTGTTAAGCAAAGGTGCAATTAATTTATATGTAAAAACCTTTTATCATTTCACTATTCAATATCACTGAAGTATTAATCTTTATATATTGTTTGCTTCAATGTGGATTCTAAGAAGTCCTTGATTTTTTCAGTATTTACAAGTTTTAGATTTACCACACAAAGTGGGTGATATTTTAATGAGGTGAAGATATTGTGCTACTAAAAACAGTAACTTTAAGCTTAGTTACTATCAAGAGAGAGCAGAGTGGGGCACCATTACCAGCCTGGGTTTATGGTATCAATGGGCCTCAATCTGATCCTGCTTTGCAAGCATATTTTTACAAAGTTACTTTCATTGTTTATATTTTGCTTAAAATAAAGAAAAGCTATTAATGAATATAGATTAAAACATTTAAAAAAAGAAAAAAATGAGACTAATGAGTAGAAGGTGAATGGAATCAGCATGGAAAGAAAAAAGATCACCTGTTTTAAATACATCTTTTTCTGTTCTTGCTGTTGCTGCTGTTGTTGTTGCTGCTGCTGCTGATGGTGTGGTTGCTGCTGTTGCTGTTGTTGTTGTTGCTGTAAGAAGATTGACTGCTGCTGTTGTTGCAACAGGGGGTGTTGAAGAGGGAGGGGAGCAGACTGGGTTCGACCTAACGGACGATGCCTGTAATGCAAACAAAGAAAATATTAAAGGATTTCAAGGCTGGAGAAAGTCAGAGAAAAAAAAAAAAAAAAAAAAAAAGAGGCTATAAAAGAATAGAATAAACAAAGCTGTCATAATTTTTAACAAAAATGTTGTTAAAGAAGAAAAAGAAAAAAGGAAACAGAACAAAGAGTGAAATCCAAACATGTCAGAGACCAGAAATTGGATACTTGTTTTTTTTGTTTTTTTCTTGGAATTTTCTTGAAAACTTTTATACTTTGTTTTCATAAGAATACATTGATATTGATTTCCACTGCATGAGTCAGGACTTCCCAAATCCTTCAAGACATGAGACCTGGGGAGTAATGGGCCTTACCTTGTAAAACTGACCAATGTCAGAATGTTTGAAGTCAGAGTACTCTTTCTACAAGGCTGGTTGCTAGACAAAGGCTGGAGAGCTCAGCCTACCCAATTATTTTATCAAAAGCTGATGGGAAGATCAATTCATGCCTTTCATAAGGGAATTAATATGAAGTGAATGCAACAATCTGGGCTTGAATCTGAAGTTTGCTTGCCACTACACACACACAAAAATAAAAATAAGTTGGCTAAAAGTTTTAGGCCCAAGCAAAAAACGGCTCAAACTCTGAGTGGTTATTTCGTCAGGCAAAGAAATTTTCAGCAATCCTCCGTGTGTGTGTGTGTGTGTGTGTGTGTGTGTGTGTGTGTGTATATATACACACACACAACACTTTTGCATGAAGTGAATATAGTATAGAATAGCTTTTTATAAGGGGTATATTTTGTGATTCTGTGTGTAAACAAGGTAAAGGGCCTATTCTAGAGGAAATGATAGAAACTAAGTGTTTTTCCACAAACGTGTGTGTGTGTGTGTGTGTGTATCTACACACACATGTAGACAGATTATTTATTTCTAATAATAATAATAATTACCTCAAACGAGCATGTGCTGCCTGGGCCTCAGATATACTTGGACTTACAGAGCTTGGAATGGAGTAGGGACTAACAAGTGGTGAGGGAATTTTTCCTGTGCAATTCTCTTCAAATGGCTTCATCTGTGCTGCAGACAGATAAGCTGCTTGATTTTGAGTGAATTCTCCATCAATTACTGCAAAAAAGAGAAAAGAAAAAAGTATGGTTTTCAATATAGAGTGCAAAAAAATGGAAACAACACGAGAAAAAAATGAATTCTTAATGCTCTACCTTAACAAGGAATCTTATACTTACCATTAAAAAGAGGACTGGGAATATTTATCTCTCACAGGGCATATGGAAGGTATGAGAAGCAGGGAGGAAAAGGCAAATAACCTATATAATGAGTTTGTGTGCTTTGATGGTAAAACAGACATGAAGGGACTTGGCATATTTAAAAGTTACAATCTTTGACACATTGTAATGGAAATAAAAAATATGAAAACTCAGTAGTTGATAACAGTCAATTTATTCAGACAGATTAGAAATTGGATGAACATAGGATGTAGTATCCTTATTTCAAATTATTTGACCACTTCTGATTGTACAAAAAGGAGGAGTAGTGGAAATTTAAGCACAAATGCTGACTGGGCACTTGATGTGACTTTGCTGTTCAAATACACATCAGCAGCTGGCAACACTTACTTAGCCATGTCATTCTGTCATATACCACATTTCTTTAATTGCATGTTCAAGTGTGCAAGATGTGTCCTATCATGTGAGCTGGGATGCTCTTTGGTTGAGCCACATATGATTTGATAGAACATTCCGTAAATTAAAACAAGCTAAAACTAAGGTATGAGTGGAGGAGAAAAGCCCAGGTATTTTCTGAAAGTTTTATTTAGCATAATATGCACAAAAAAGGAAAAGGTTTAAACAAAGTTTTCATTAATAAAAAGAGAAAGAAAAACAAAACATATTTCATAGAAAAAATTTTTTTTTTTAAATTGTAGCAAGAAAACAATACTTGAAAAGAGGTCAGAGTGACAAATACCCACCCATGGGTCATTGCAGTAGAAGAGCATTAGAGAATTAAAAAAAATTAAGAATGCTCCCTCTTGGTTCATATTAAACATTACTGATAAAATTTTTTAAAAGTTCAACTTATTGACAAAAGGGAAAATGACCATGTAGGAAATTACCTTGGTGTGAAGCGTAATATGGCAGAGTGTTTGATAAGAGGTGACTGGACAGCGGCAGGTTGTACCGGGCAGCATTCATGGCACGGAGGTCAGCTTCTGTCATTCCTGATGATGGACTGCTGTTGCTGCTGCTACCCTGTAAAAAAGGTTTTATTTTTTAGGATCTATCTTTCAGTTGACACCAATAAATATAGCAGTCATTAAAAACAAGTGATTATTAAAAAAGAAAATTTAGGCTTTCTCTTTCATGTTTTTGTTTGCAGATGGTGAGAAAGCAAATTTGAGATGACTGTGAAAACTCTTCTAAAGATGCTATAACTAGATAGCTTGTGTAGAAACCCTTATACCACACCTTGTTAAATGCCTTTGAGATATCTAAGGCAAGCACTATTGTAATGAATTTATTATTGAGTGTTTTACTGATTCTGTGTGCAATGACAATTAAGACATCAGCAATGGACCTAGAAAAGTGAAATCCATACTTTGTTGCTCAGGAGGCTGTTTCTGTTGAAGTGATCAATAACCTTCTTGCAGATAATAGACTCAAGGAATTTGCTGAAGTTACTAAGGAGGCTGATGGGGGTGATATTGTGATGCAGGTGAACATTCACATTCTTGTAAACGGGGCATACACCCGACATTGTCCATAGACCAGGGAAACATTTCTTTTTCAAGCAATGGTTAATCAACTTTAAGATTGGAGATAATTCTGGGTTAAGGTTCTTAAAAGGAAAATGTATCTGGATCAGTAGCCTTCCTAGAATCAAGGCTTTAGCTAAATCTGAAATAGATAGAGAAATCAGAATGTTTGTACTCCATGAGAAGAAGGGGGAGTCAGATAGGGGATGGCCTTTATTAAAAACCTTGGTGATTTTCCAGAAGCAAGTCTTGTTTCCAAAAGCTTGGACTGACTGTGCATAGTTGCTTTTTGCATTTTCCAGAACTCTTGTGCACTGATTGCAAAATTTATTTATTTCATTTATTTAGAAAGATTAGTAATGATCAGATTGGAAATGAACAAGAATTATTTTTTTAAATTTTATCTTTCAGAGTTCATATGTAAATCAGCTCTATAAAGCAAGAACTGTTAAATTCAACAAGATATAAAATACATGCTAGTAGATATAATTTCTTAATTTTTAGTTTCAAGAATGAAAAAAAATATTTGATATATTATGCTGCTTTAGATTTTCTACACTTGACAAATGCATTATGCAAACTTTCATAAAGAACAACTTTTACATATTAATTTTCTTGGTTTTGCACAGACAAATATATACACAAACTTTCAGCTATACATTAGATTAACAAGGTTCTATTCAATCTATGTTGTACATAAACATCAATATTGTAATAGATTATCATGTCTTTGAGAAATTCTTATCTTCAGGGGAAGAAAAAAAAAGCATATATTCTATATCATCTGGTAGAGGATGTCACTGGTAGCACAAAGTTGAGATGGAACTTGACAGTGAAAACACTGAAAGCGACAGTAAACATTCAATTTGTTGTCTAGCAACAAATTAAGTCAGGCTAACATGGTATTAGAAATCCATTTTATTATCTCTTAGATTTTCTTAGTAAAATCTACGAGCGAAATAAAAAATATTTATTTATAAATAAAATAAAGAAATTTATTTTAAAATATTACAAATAAAAGATAGTTATGTTTCTAAAAAAAAAATTGTTTAAAAATTAATCTGTAATCATTTTTCAAAACAGGTGATAAAATTGTCTGTTTTTCCCAATGTTTTGTGAATGAAAGAAAGAGCGAAAAAAAATATAAAAAAATGTTATGCACTTCCTCCTCCTCCTGCTGTTCAAACTTAGGAGGAGAGGTCTGGTTTATTTATGTCCGATTTTGGTTTTTCTTTATCTCTTGAGGAGATTCCCATATGCTGTATTATAACAAGAGGAATTTCATAAATGTTTTTTTTTTCTTGCTAGCTGGTAAAATCAGAAGATAGCAGCTTAAAGGCAGCTGCATCACTTAGACAGAAAAGAAGACTGCAGAAAAATCCACAAGGATCCATCTTCAAGACAAACCAACTTCCTAGGTTTGAGAAGGCAGAAGAACCATAGTCAAGATTGGTTTTAAATATAGATTTCCTTTTATTGACAGAAATTATCTCTTTTCAGAGCCAAGACATGCAATGATTTGGTACGTTATGTAGTAAGTATTTCAAGGTATACAAAAACCATTTTTGTCATCCTAGACCAGGGCCATTCAGTGTCTAAGGGTAAATTATCAATGTCTTTTTTCTGTAGTTGTGGGAGTTTATAATCTTTTTTTTATTTTAAAGTGGTTTAGTATAAGAATATATATAAAAAAGCCAGTTAAAACAAAAAAATAATAATTTAGTAAGTGTTTAACATTCTCCAGCACAATAATTTGTACAACTTATTTCTTTTTCCTTCTGATTTAATTTTTATCCTTTCATTGTAAAATGCAATTGCAATTGTTTTTATATTGGAAATTTATTATTTGTGAAATAATTTTTTTTTCAAATCATATCATTTATCTATTACATTTATTTCTTTTTTACTTTTAGCTGTCATATTTTTTTTTACATTGTTACCACCATGTTTGGAATGTAAGATAATGCATATATTTTGCAGAAAAATGTCACATGCATTGCTGAAATGATCAGGTTGGGCTAATCAGTACATTTGCCACCATTTTTCTTCTTTTAGAGTATTAGTGGACACTACCAGAAAAAAAAAAAAAAAAAAAAAAAACTCCCTCCTTCCAGATGAAAATTTGAAGAATGAATGAATTTAATTATCTAAACAACTTTTCAAATTAGGCATCTTCTCAGAATGACAACAGTCTGTAAAATGTATTGACTGATTGTGGTAACAGAATAAGTTTAATGATTTGAATAACTTGAGACAATAATAAAAATATCCAACTAAAAGGTTATACTACTGTCTCCAAATGAGAAATTTAAAAGCACTTAATGTTGTTGATTTTTGAGTAATTTAATTTACTTTTTCATAGTAGATTTGTCAAGTGTTTTTTTTCCTCTGAAGAAAAATACACAAGATAAAAAAAACTAAAAAAAAAAATGATAAAAATTATTTTTCAACAACATTTGAGACATACAGAACAATTGTGCTGATAAACAAAATAACTAGTTCTACCTCTCCTTCTATTCTTGCATTACCATTAAATTAAAAAGAGATTTTGGTTTACTTACAGTGGAGGTGGGAGGTCGTCCAAGAGAGATGTTTGGCATGGAGGGTGATGTGTACAAACTAAAGTCTGTTCCTTGTTGAGCAATACTTGTTTTATATAGCTGAGGATGAAAGAAAAACAAAATTCATAAATATTTTTGCCATATCCAATATCTGTAACATACATTATGCATAATATAATAATCACTGAGAGAGGAGATTATTCATTGCACAATTGTTGATATCTGAAAGCATGAAGTAATGCAACAAGCATTAGCACAGAAAAAAGAATTGTCAAAAGAGTTTGAATTACAGTTAAGGCTGATCATATTCCCTTCATAATAAATTCATTGGAAAAGACATGAAAAAATAACATTTGAATTGACCTTTGAAAACCATCTGAGAACATGAAACATTAAGAACTGTCACTAGTTTAACAATCTAATGAAACATTTCTTATCTCATCAGCAAGTAGTATAAGGATTGCCTGCATGGAAAATGGAATTAAAAAAAAAAAGCAAATATTGTTGGAAGTAGTAGTTATGCGAGAGTGGTTTGCTCGAATGCCCACTCACCAACAAATGATATATCACCAATCACCTGATACTCCTATAACCAACTTTGACAGGGAGCAATTAAATTATATAAAATACTAAGAACTATGAAGGATAGTGTTGTAACCTAGAAAAAGGTTACTGAACAAGAATAACCAAATGAAGGTTGTAAATGGAATGATAATATTTATAACAGGAACAACATACAAGATTCACCAGCAGCATGTAGTAAGTAATCAACTACTAGTGGTGAGCTAGAAGTGAATCAAGGTGAATTGCAAGTGAATCTCAAGTGGAAGATCACATACAGTATATACCACTGTATTTATCAGAACTGGAATATACCTATTATAGCCCATAGGTACAGTATAACAGAGAGAAAGTTGTGGTGAGCTATGTCTGCTCATGTCCTGAACAGACATAACACATAGAATAATAATATAATTAGACTCATAGATACCAACAACAAACTTATGTTATTAAAACCAAAATACAAAACAATACTCAGTGTCAAAACTGTTTTGTCTCTGCACAGCATAGTTTGGCAGACAAATGCTTTTCTTAATATTTTGCATATAGTAATATACAAGATGCTTTCTACGTATTTACAGGATTTGAAAAACAAGAACAGGAACACACAATAAGTTGAATGGAAACATATTTAGAAAAGCATTTACATGCAAAATTAGATCTTGATGGTTTTGATAATGCCTGGAAGAGAAGCCCTGCATTTTAGAATTAATCCAACTTGACAGATATTGAATAAAATGTTAGAATTACTCTCCGAGTGTAGGCATGAGAACAAAATCCTGCTCTGTTGCCTAATGCCTGACTTAAATGATCATAAACCAAGAGGAGTGAAACAAGGATGTATTTTCTCACCAGATTTATTTAACCTATACAAAGAGATGATCCTAAAGGCAAAAGTCATAGGAAATCAAATTTGAACTTGGGGAGGAGAGAATACTGATAGGCCTGAGTGATGCAAGGTTTGTCAAAAAAAAAAATTTGCACAAGACATGAAGAATGAGCAGGCATATTTTCATGGTTAATGTGATAGTCATACAGTAGACAAGCCCACTCAATGGTGTCATGTTGCCAACTGAGTAACCTCAAGAGAGAGTGTTCATGAATACACAGTAAGTTTCCCTCAAGTTACAAAGATATTCAGAATGGTTGGATACTTTCAAAATAAACCTCATATTCTAACCAGCAATATCAAGAGTTCTATTTACTAAAGGCTATAAAAGTGAAGATCAAATTTACTAAAGTAGTAATCATCTGTGAAATTAGTTTCTTGAGCAGTTCTCTATGAAGAGTGTTCAATTATTGATATTTACTCAACTTAAGAGAAGACCTAATTGGAGGGAAGATTGTGTTGCACCAATCTTTCAAGCATGGAAGAATAACGTCAACCTTCAAAGTTACTGTTGTTAATGGAGAATACACAACAAGGAAAATTTCATCTAACGAATTCAAAGAAACTATTAAATTGCTTTTTATCAGGGCTAGAACAACCATCACTGCTGCTAGTAAAAATATAAAACTACCTCAGTCACCAAGTAAATCTATAATATATAATTAAAAATGAATTAAAAAAAAAAAAAAGAAAAAAAAAGACTTATTTTTCTTCATATTTTTTTTATTGTAGTTGTTTGTTTTGAAAGAAATTTTACATGATAGCAAATTTGTTGTTATAATATTGTTCTATTTATTAGAGGGTTCCCACATATCTGTGTAAAATAAATTCAAGGGCTTGTTAAGAAGTTTCCAGGACTGAAACTGGTGTACGCACACAAAGTGAGTGGTCATCAATTTCAAAAACACAAACTTTGTGATTTATCTTTTAAATAGTTTGACAGATGAGAGGTTAAAAAAAGCTACAGCTGGTAACCAATAATTCATGTCACATGGATCAGTTGAAAGCAGTGAAGAAATCAGTATTGAAGGCTAAAACAACTGTATGCAGACCTAGTTATGTTACACATTTTGTGGTTCTAATACACTTGAAATTTTTGAATGACACACTTTAATTCTTACTGCTAGATATTTCAGCAGTCTAGACTACTCATGGTTTGTGAATGTCAGAAAAATTCTTTACTGCTGCACATTTCCTGTGAAGTATAATGGTTTTAATGAACAGAACTAAAAAAAAAAAAATTTTTTTACAAAAAGACTACACATTTTAGCTACTTCCACTACCCATGGCTCTTGTTGCACATGGAACAGAACACAATGTTACCATTTGTTAAGTTCATCTACTTTAGCATTCAGTTCTGCTTCAAATTTGGATATCTCTATGGATTTGTCCTTTTCAGATCTTCACAAGGAATTGGACCTTGCAATAAGTGTGAAGTTCTGAGTCTGCTCAGCTTTCTCCATAGAGCTGTCAGCTGACTTGAGCAAATTGTGTGCAACTTTCAAGCTTGTGTTTTTTGGTCATCAGTTCTTCAATTTCCATAAGCATGGATTTCTATTTTTGTCTAGCTGATTCTTCCTGCCTCTTTTTCTTTTCAGCCCCAAGATATTGGCTGTATGCTGTGCTGGCATTGGAAACACTGCAGTGAAGAGTTTTAGTCATGGGAACATTTCCAGCACCTCCATCTGTGACCAAATAGTCTGTGATAAGGCGTTGTGCAACCAGAGTCTGCCGTTTCATATTGTCAGTGGAAATTTCCTTATTGACTCAGAAACCTCTCTCCACTGAGGCATGTCCAATGTCCATGAGAGAGAGTACCAGAAATCTGCGAACAACTTTCTATGTTTTTTTTTATATTCTTTATTGCTAGACAAAGAACAGTAGAACAAAGTGTCCAGGTGGATTTTATGCTTGCTGAAATTCTTGAAAGCAATATTTCCAGCAGCCTCCTCCTCAAACTCTTTGTACTGACTTCTAATGACATCACAATCAGACTTGCTGACTTTTTTTCTGTTCATCATTTGGGAAAGACATCTTTTTAGACTGTCTTCTGTGGCAGATTTTTTTCACAAATGGAACAGGATTCAGCTATGCAAGTGACCTTACAAAAAGGTATCTAAGGAGAGACTTTGCCAGAAGTTTCTCAATAATAGTGATGAAAATTGCAATTCTGCATGCAAACAGATCTTTTGTTGACACATTCCCATTTTTGGATAAATTTTGCACAGCCCTATCTACCAGAAATCCACATGTAATCTTTGCAGCATCTTACAAATACATTCAGTTTGGAAAATGTAATTATCTTTTTAGTGTGCTCTTCCTTTGCAAATCTTAACAGTTTCATGATCATGCTAAAAAGATCATCTGCAAGGAAAGGCAGCAATGATTTATTGCTCTGATATTTTATCAGAAATGGTTCAATGTCTTTCAAAACAGACACAGAAATAAAACATCATTCATGTTTGACAGCACTGCAGAGAAAGACTTGGTCTGGGGATATTTTTCTGTTTTTTAATTATGTTCACAAATTTGATGGCCAAATATCTATGAGTCATTCACATGTTTGTACATTTTCTAGCCATCTATGGCAGAAATACACAAGTAAACTAAAGGAATAGGGTTGCGAGATTGAACTTTTAATAGAAAGCCAAACAATATTATAAAAGTCAAATAAGTTTTAATTAGGTACCACGAAAAATTCGGTACACCCAAGGTTTAAATGTATTTTCATAAATGAAAAATCTTTTGTGAAGTTTTCTTTTTAGCCTTAATTGAAAGCTAAAGGATTAAATTTTCTAATTTTAGAAAGCAAAATACTGCAGAAATAGAATGATTTTTAGTTGATTCATTTTTTCTTTTTTTCAGACAAAGGTGTTGACAAGTATGGTGAATCAGAATTGACATAAATTTACAAATTCTAAGTAAAAACAGTTTGTTTTTGATTTTTAACTACCAGGTAATTTTTAAAAATTAACAAAATATTTTAAGCAATTATCTAATATTTTATTGATTTTTTTTAAGGTACTTAACCTTATGATTGAAGATGCTTTCTGAAAATATAAAATTTATAATACTATAAAAATTTCTTAAATTAATAACATTTGATAAATTATTTCTACCATGTTCGAAATTTTGGTTAATTTGTTTTTTCTGTGTACGCATAAATTTTTTTGTTTCAAATCAGATTAATTTAACTTTAAATTTGCCAATTTTTCTCAGCATTTCAGAAAAATATATTGTATTTTATAAAATTTTTAAAAATGAGAATTAACTTTTGTTTACAAAAAAAAAATATGGCAAGATTTGTTATTGTTTCTACTGACAAAAAATATAAAAAACATCATAATCAATATATAATTTTTGTTTGAAATACAGAGTATTTTGCTTACTGGAAATAGTAAAAATTTATTTTTTACTCATTTAACTTTCAATGAAAGCTTCAAGAAAGCTTTTTCACTTTTGTTTTTTAAATTTATTTTTAAAACTTAGGTATCAAGAAATAGTGGAGGTACCTAGTATAATTAAAAATAAAATGAGAAAAAACTAATTTAAAATGTAAATGAAATAAAGTATAAAAATAATTAAACTAAACATTAGGTTTAAAATAAAATAAAGGGTTACCTTTCAAACATTTTTTTATCAAAATATAACTTAATAGAACATATTAAATAGAAACTTAAAAAAATTAAGAAGCTAAATAAAAACAAATTTTTCTTAACCGTTACCATGCTGGAGGCAAAAATTGTCGCTGTAGAATTTTCTCCCTTTGCGGCTCTAGGCGCATTCTGTCGCCTTGAGACAGTTGCTATAAATAAACACTTGTCAACTGTTATTTCCAGTATTTTAAGCTGGAAATCGCCTACTATTCTTCTAGATTCAAAGAAGGTGTAGCATCAATTAAACCTACATTCTTTTTTTTGCAATTTTTTGTGAACAAAAATAGCCACATCAACATCCAATGAAGCCTTTATTCGGGAGTTTTTCTTTGATTAGGACTCCGACGATAATTTTGAAGGCTTTACGCAAGTGGATATTGACTGTGAAGTTGTTGAAGATGATAACCACACTAGTGACAGGGAGGAAAGCGATTATAACCATTAATGGATACTATCATCCATACCTGACTAATTTTATGGAAGCTATTGGCAACCATCGATATACCTGATAGCCTTTCTGAAGGTGAATTATTTTGACTACTTATAAACAATGAAATAACTTTATTAGTCAATGAGACAAATATGAGGTGAAAGAAAGAGCAAACAAATGGTAGTATATTCTTGTATATAAACACAAGAAAACATGCCATTTTTTTTGACGAAATGAAAGCCTTATTGGCGATTTTAGTTTTTATTATATCCCCAGAACTCCACAAGGAGTAATAAAAGTTAAAATATGTTGAATTGTTTATAATTTTGCATTTCAACATTTTTTGTTTTCAACATCAAAACATAATGTATTGCATCAAAATATTACTAATCCATTCTTTTATTAGTGTACAAAAAATAAAATCTATATGCATAATACAAAGAAAGTTATAACAATTTCAAAATTTTATTTACATGTTTTATGCCATAAAAAAAAAAAAAAAAACAACTCTTAAAAAAACAATTCTAGATAGAAATTAGCGCGGCAAAGGTTAATAACTAAGTAAAACAAAAAGGTGTATGTGTATAAGGGAGACAACCCTTTGAAAAACGTGACCTAACGATCATGTTGCATATGAAACAAGATTAAAAAAAAAAAACAAAGAAAAAAAAAGTAAAAAAAAAAAAGAGAACATTTAGACACAAAAAATATTTTAAATTATTGTAAAAATTATTAGTGAGATGATATGTATTAGGCTTTTCAATTTTCGCTTAGTAAATATAGTGTTCATTTAATAACTTAATTACCTAACATTAGCAATGTTTGGAAGAATTTAAAACATTTTTGAATCTTTATAATTAAAAAAAGAAAAATGCAAACAATTCTTGCAAAAATTCATTATTCATTGAAATTTTTTTTCTTTAGACTATAATGTTCTTAATATATATTATTTATACAAGCAATTAAAAGTTTATCTAATTAAATAATTAGATAAATTTTTATTTTACGATTTGGAGCAGATTTTCGGAAACTTGGTAATAGCTTGGAAAAAAAAAAATTGATGATTTACATTTTCCAAAGTGTCCTGCTTTTAACTAATAAAAAACATTTTGTTGATTTTAAATTCTAGAAAATTTTATGAAATTAAGTTGGTGGCAGGGGTTAACAGACATAAATAGAATAAAATATTTTCAAGATTTTCTAAAATAATAATTTCAAAAATAAATTCTTCATTTGTGAATAAGTCCTGAAAGTTTCATTAAAATCTAACAATTATTTGATTTTTTTACACTTACAACAAAAGCTAGGTCATTATTAGTCTGCAAACTAAAAATAAAGTTATTTTTTCAAAGACGCATTTTCAATCCTATCCACATCAAAGGCACATTTTCTATATTATCATTCTTCCTGTCTACATTTTCTGAGTTAAGTTTGGTTTGCAAACTTGTTACTTTTGGCAATAATTTAGACAAAGGTTGTTCACACATAGATAGGCATAAATAAAGTAATTATTTTTTTCAGCATGAACTCACCCACCACTGACTAGAGATCAAAAGGACTTTTTACTTTTGAAATTGACATGTGAATAACATGTCTTTAATTGTTCAAATTTTAAAAAACACTGATAAATTTTTCAATATTCTACTAAAATGTATTTTATTACTGTAAAATAATTTATTTTCCTTTCAATGAGTGTGAATTAATTTATCTTTGACTGAGATGTTTACTTGTCTCTAATGCCCTTTATCTTTGCTTTTCCTCTTTTCTTGTTGAGTGAGGGTAGCAGCTCGGAGAAGACACACCTTCATATTCTTTCTTGTCACCTAGACAAGAAAATACAGAAGAATAACTACGAGGTCATGAACTCATTGTGATCAAGAAAACAAACCACTCTTCGCAATAATTGCCAAATATTATTACTGACAGCTAAAAAACATTTTTCTTGAAGGACAAAAAAAAAAAGCCAGATTTCTGACATTTGACATTTTGACTTTCATGAATTGAGAAAAAGGCTGTGTAGTGTGGCTGTTCAATTTAGAAAATTCCAGGACTTTTCAAGGAGGTTTTGGATTAATGCTATTTTTCCAGGACTGATCAAAAGCAAAAACGGTTCTCTAAGACAATTAAAAGAGAACAATTTCATTCTGGAGGTGTTAAAATGTACATGCCATTTCTTGCCCCAGTTAATAATAGATTGAATAGTCACCTATTATGTAATAATTTATATACAAAGTATTTAACTATTTCTGTTGATAATTTAATCAAGAGATCCTTGGATGATATTTTGAGCAGCTGTTTTCATTTGGAGTTTGTGGTCAAATCCCCAACACTCTGAACTTTATCTTCTTCAGCAAAAGATTTTTTTAAAAACAAATAAAAAGTATTGTCCACTGACATTGAGAAAGGAAAAAAAAGCTTATGGCTTACCTCTTTTGACTGGAGGGATGTTAAACTTCCATTTGGAAGTGTACCAGTGGCTCCACCTGGTGGTGAATTTGGACCTGAGTCAGGGTTACTGTTACATATGGATGAATCTACTGGAGAGGAAAAAAAAGCAAAAAACAAGGTGATGTTCTTCAAGATTTGGTTAAAAACATAAAATAAAAATAAAACTGGTCAATACACACTTTAAAAATCTAAAAATGTGTGCATTTTAAAATGCTGATTACAAAGCCAATGACAGTAACCTATATCAGATAATGTACTGCAAGAGAAAAACATTTTTAAACCCTACAAAATTACAATTTCTTATAAATATTTAAATCTGACCTTTTTCTCAGTATTACTAAAAGTCATACTGGCTAATGAGCATTTGTATTCAATATTAAAATGAATGACAATTTTTTTTAACATTGATATTTCAAGCTAAGATGAGCAACTATCAGAAAATGTATGTGCTTTTATTTAAATTTATCTTTATGGAGGAAAAGTGCATAGAATCAGGGATAAAATACTTGTGACTATGAAGAGTGTGGATAGAAAAATCAATGATGCATAGTGACTGGCAGTTTCATGTCTTAATCAATTATCAGACCAAGCCTGATCATTGCTCAACATGTGAAACTGCCAGTCACCATATAGTGTTGACTACTATTTGCCCCTATATATATATATATATATATATATATATATATATATATATATATATATATAATTAGGACGATAGGAAAACTGTATTATTGGATGAAAAAATGCACCGGCTAATAATATAGTTTTCCTATTGTCTTTTACCTTTATAGTCTTTTTCTACAGGTTAACTGAGAAATGTTATATATATATATATATATATATATATATATATATATATAAAACTATATTGAAACTTCACTTTTATTAAGTATTTTTCATCTTGACAGATCCTAAACTCTGTAAGAAAAATTCAACAAAAATCAATATAACTTTTTAACAAATATGTTATATATGTTAAATATATTTATGTAATATATATATGACTGGTTACTCTTGGTTTCCAAGCACACAGCCTGCTAGGGCAGCTAACCAATCCCTGTTGCAAATACCAGATCAGGCACACTTGTGTTTATTTCATCACCCAGAGACCACTTGTGGTTTATACTACAATTATGCTCGAGTTTTTGAGAGCACACAAAATCTGTCATGATCAATAATTTGAACAAGGCCAGTAGGTTCAAATGAATAAAGAAACTTAAAAAACTAAAAAAAAAAAACTAAATAAAAACAAATTATTTTTCTTAATTAAGTAAAACTAAAAGGTTTATGAGTGTAATGAGTGACCTTTGGAAGACTTGACCTTCTAATGATCATGTTGCATATGAAACACCATACTTTAAAAAAAAAAAAAAAAAAGACTTTTTTCATGATCACTTGCATCTTTGCACTAGAAGAAACAGCAGCAGTTGTCCTATCTACACAACTTAATTCACATAGCTTGGGCCAACTTGTGGTACAGTTTTCAGGCACTTTTTAAAGGTTCCACATATATAAACATTTTAACCATATATATATATATATATATATATATACACACACACACCTTGATTTTTTTAATTTTTTTTTATTTACATATAAAAGAAAAAAGGTGCAAAATTAAGTAGATTTTTTAGCAGGTGATTGATTCATTACCAATTCTCAATTTGTATAGTTAAAAATAAAAGCTACTGCCACAAAGCATCTTTTAATTGTTAAATAGATCTCAACTAAAATAAGAAATTTGTTGTATCATTACAAATGTTAAAATTTCAATATTTCAAGAAAAAAGATTTTTCCACAAAAGGAAAATAACTAGTTATTATTATTTTATTTTTTAATCTGAAAAAACATAACAGTGCAATAAGAGTGAAGCCAAAATGAATGAAAGGCTAATAAGTATGGCTGTTGAATTAATGTTCTTAATTTTTAGCATCTAGATTTTCACAAATCTACAGAATTAATGGTATTTTTGATGATAAAAAACTATTTTATTCTTTTATTTTAAAAATCTTTACAGGGACAGAGTTTCCATGTTTGTCGTATGAAATTCAAACTTATAATAATCACTTGATAAAAAGAAAATTTCTTTTTCCTGAAGAGGCTAACAAAGTACTCAAAGATATTTATTCTGGGTCTTCGGTAAACCAGTGATTCAAGACAACTCCTAAATGGTAATGAAAGCAGCATAAGCAATGATTGTCCCAAAGTGACTGACAGATTGTCAGTGAAGATTTTTTTTTTATCCAATGCCTTTAATAGTGACTTGAAAGTGATCCAGATAACAATGTCTACAGTGAAAGCAAATGATTTATCTTAGAATGGCTGATGATATATTTCATTTGTTTTAATAGTGTTGAGAATTGCACAGTTGAATTCAAGGCAATTTGCTAATGATAATGAAAGCAATGACTGTCCTGCAGCAGCCAATGAGATATTTCACAAGAAATTATTTTGTCTTGGGTCTTTCTATTCTAACAGTGAATTCATTTGTGATTCAAGCAAATCTCAAAGGTAATGGAAAATCACATTGAATCATTAGCAAAAATAAAGAATTTACAGTTTTAAATCTTTCTTTTGCTTTCTTACTCCAAATTTTGATAGAACTGACACAAAAAGGTCAGTGATTGCTGCCAGAAAATTAAAGACTTAATTTGTAAAACTCGTTCATTGATAGTGTAATGAATGGAAATAACAAAATAAAATTCAAGCATTGCTCATTGATAAACTCATGAAACATGATTCATGTGTACAACTAAAAGAAACTGAAAAATAACATTCACTTTGTTTTAAAATTGAAAGAAGAAGATTTAATATATAACAATGATGATAAATTAGTTTTATGCTTATTTTTTTTTTTTTTGAGAAAGTCATATCTATTGCTTTTGATAAACAGTGCAATCAAGCAATGGGGAAAAATCTATCACAAAGGGAAACAGATTTTTTTCTCCAAATGTAATCATTTTTAATGCATTTAAAAATAAAAATTAAAAATAATAAAAATAACATGCAACTTCTTTAATAATACGATTTGTGCTTGGAAGCATTTATTCAAATAAAATCTACAAGTTTTACGTGTTTTTATTATTTCTACTCAACATCAAAGACCATCAGAATGTGGGCACATACTGGACAAGAAACTTTGTTCAGAAGTCAGAAGTTACCTGTGTAACTTCCATCAGATATGACAATTTGTTATTGGTACTTTATTTAAAAAAATAAAATTGTTAAATTATAATTTGATGAAAGAATGTAAAACTTTTTTGTTTGGGTTTTTGCAGCCATCTCTCTTGGTTGGGTCAGATTATTAGTAAGAAAGAAAAAATAACACTGTCATCTCATGCAGACAAACCAATGAAAAGGCCAAGCAGCAAAATGAGACCATGCAGATTGTGTTGATATGAAAAAGGAAAAATTAAAAATAGTTGACAATTTTTGAGTGCATGATTAGCAGTTCAGCATTGACATCAACTCAACATGTCAGAAACTAAAGCAGAAATATTCCTGTTGCATTTGTTTTTTTTTTTTTTGACAAAATAAAAATTAATCCAATAGCATTTTGAAAAAAATTAATAAAGATTCTATTTAAAAAAAAATTTCCCAATGTTTTTCTCAATGTCTTATGAATAGTCAAAATTAAAATTTCAGATTTATTTGAAGTTCATTCACTGTGGGTATGTTAACCTATTAACTCTAATGTAAATTTCCTTAAAATTTTTAAACAATGCCATAAAGCTGCAATGAGGGAAATTCTGTAATCTATAGTTAATAAGTTACAGATTATTTCTAAAACATTATAAAAGAAAACAAATTAGTCTGAGTTTTAAAAAAAAAAGGAAATTTATTTTCAGACTTGTGATATTTTTTTGGAAATCTCTATTAAAAAAAAAAAGAAAAAGAAGAGAGATAAAAAAAAAAAAAAAAAAAAACAACCCAAAAACGGATTCTTTCCATAGATTACACAAAACAAAAAAAAGAAAAAACCTTCCTACTCCCTAAAGGAGAAATCTGGTAATTAAATTTGAAATTTTCTGTTATTTCTATGTAAATATAATTAAGGATGCAAAGAAAAAATACTGTATATTTACATATAAGAGAATCTTGTGTATGTTGACTATTGATTTTTTTTTTAAATTAAGAAATCATTAATAATATAACTTGAGTATCAGTGAACTGCAGATTTTAAGAGTAAGAGAACAACAAATGAGGACAATAAGGTACAATATTTTATGAAATATGACATAGAATTAAGGAAACTCATTAAAATAAGTAACAGTCAAGGAAAGTCTTTATCTGCGGTTTGTGATTATTACAGGTTGTAGATATTCTTCTATTTAATAACCTTAGATAGGCTCTGCTTGGTTTTATTGATTTTATGATGTAATATCAGGTAAAATTTTCAAAGTCAGACTAATTGCTGAGAAGAGATAAATTAAGCTAAACATCCTGTAATTTTCATTACAAATTCAAAAGACATTATTTACCACTAGCTCCCCTTGGTAAGTAGTTTTCTAAAAGTTCCCTTGCTATTGATACATAAGACTGCTAAAACTCACCAAAACCTGATTAAAGTGTCTAAATAAAAGAGGATCTCTTTAAGCAACTTGTAATTTTGATCACAAATTAAAACTCTTAGCATCAAATCCCTTCAACTCAGGTTTTACCTATCTAAAATTTTCCATGTACTGAACATCAAAAGCAAAATGTCAATCAATTATTTTTTACTTTATACTTAGACATAAATGTTTTAAGCAAAAATATCCCCGATTTCAATTCAAATATCTGTTGAAATTAATCATAATATTGTATATTTTTTCCTGATGAATCTTTTCAATATTTGAAGTAAAGACACTCCTACCTTATCTAATGTGAAGATTTAAACATAAAAATTCTTTACACATGTAGGTTGTCATTGAATATTTGGCAAAAATTAAAAACTTGACATATACACATATATTACAAATCTGACACTGTCATCAAATGAGTGGAGAGAAAAAAATTAATATACTTGTTGGTGGCATGCTTTTATCTGGTCTTGTCAAATTTCTCTTTTTTTTTTTCTTTCTTTTTTTTACAATAATTTTGGTAAATTCAACCAATTTATTCAAAAGACTACGTTAAATGATTTTCTAGTAGAAGGGAGATAACTGTTTTAACATACATGTAAAAGCCATTAAAAGAGGTTATCTTTCTTTTTCCAATCTTTGTATCAGAGTTTGTCCAACATTTTGCATTTAAAAATTTTATGACGCACTTAGTTCTATTAGACAAGCCAAATATATAATTCACAGTGGTAATAAAAAGAAATAATCCAATGAAAAATTTAGTTAAGGCAAATATAGGTAATTAATTACACTAACGTGTTATGATATACCAGTCTGGAATCCTATGATCAATATAATGAATATGACTTTTGCTATTTTTTGTTCCCCTATAACAAACTTTCCCATTGGATAATGATTAACAACCTCTTTTAATTATTGAGTTAATGAGAAAATCGTCTGTCATAACATGCCACTTGAAGCAAACAGACATTACCATAAGAACAGAATTTTGAACATCATGAAAATAATTATAAAATGACAGTAACACAAGTTATATAGTTTATTTTCTAGAAAAGATCAACTGAGAGAAATTTAAATATATCAAACACGGGCAATGGTAACCACTGTTATGCGACTCAAGTCTCTCTCGTTCACTCTGCTGCCCTATGTAGTCATTTGTTTAGATTTGTGTATGCAGTAAAATATGCTATGAGCAATATTCAAGAAATTTAACAGATTTAAACATTTTTGAAACTTTTTCATATATAGACAACTGAGCACCAGAAAAACTTTTTTTTTTTATAACTGAATAAAAGTAATTTAAGGATTAGAAACTTAATTAGTGAATATTTTTCTTTGAATAAGGTATTAAATAAAATATGAACAAGTTTTTAGTTTTTAATTATTTTTAATAAAATAAATTGTAAAAAATTTTATTTTTTCTTAATTTTTGTATTTTAAATTATTTTTTATAAAAATATTTTAGTATGTTGAGATAAAATGAACCATAAATGGCAATGTTTTTCTGTCTGACCAGTTAGATACAATTGACTAGCATTTTATCCTGAAAATCTCAAGATGTTTAGAAAGAGAAATCATAAGAATAAAGAATTTCATTATTAAAAATAATTAAAAACAAGTGTTTTATTGAATTATTTTTTTTTATATCAATTTACTTTATTAAAAAATAATTAAAAACCAAAAAAAAAAAAGAATTATTTCATTATTTGCAGTAATTGTGCTCTGACTATTGTCCTCATCTTTGTTGTTGAGAACAAAAAATCGTAAGTGTAAATAATCATAATTCCTTATACCAGAAATTCAAATAGAAGATTATTTCAGTTGAAAATAATAGAGGTGGCTTTATTTATAACTTCATATCTAAGATTATTGTTTTTAAAAACTGCAAATTCATGTTTTTTCATGCTTTGTCCACTATGATGGAAAAATTTTAGAATTTGTATGTAAAGAATTTGAAACCAGGTAAAATACATACAATCCACCAAGCTTATCTTGTCAAGAAATAAATTTTTTTCACTGGAGAAAAATGCACATGTGAAGACCTAAAATTAAATTTTAAATAACCAAATAGAAACATGTAAAATCAATTAAAAAATAACTATAAAATATATTATATATTGTAAGGGCTTGAACAGGCTTATAGTTTGGCCCACATTAGCTGTCACCAAAATTTACAGGCTTATAGTTACAGATGTGTTATGATACATAATTGGGTTTGATTCATTTTTACTCCTAAATTCATAGTTATTTCAATGTAACTATTTTATCCAGTCTTTTCTGAGTGATGGCATCACAAAAATTCAAGGGCCAAAATAGTGTTCATTCATGCCAAATATTCTGTAAAGATGCCAAAATTGACTAAATATGACAAGTAAAATTTTACATAACCAGACTGGACCAATTCAAAGGTCAATACAAAACCTTTTTCTTGAGAATGGAGCTTAAACTTCAGGTTATCTTCAATAAATGACACTCCCAAATAAAATTATGTATCAGTAAAATGCTGTCAGCATTTTAATATTTATTAAAAACATGACACCTGAAAGCAAATAAAATAATGCAAGTTAAAGCAAAAAGGAAATTTTATACCTTTGACAAGTGGAAAGAATTTGTTTTTTTTTTAAATGAAAGAGGTCAAAGGAATTTTTTTTTTTTTTTTTTTTAAACTATCAACTGACCACCAAACCAAGACATTATTATCCCTAGAGAATATGTTTGTATGTTTGGAAGGGGTAGTTTGATTATATAAAAATAAATAAAAATATATAAACATTTTCTTAAAAAAAAAAAAAAAAAAAAAAAAAAAAAAAAAAAAAAAGAAGCAATAACATTAACAATTAATTTTTATGAGGTTTTTCTTGGTTTTTTTTTTTATCACATTGGAAGCTCTTTCTGATTACAGCCTGCTTACAATAATGGTTGATTTAGAATATTGTAATAAAACAGTAATAATAAGATGAAGAAAAACTAGTCACAAATTCATAAAAAAAAAAAAAATCACAATTTAAAACCATTGCTAAATAGTAAAACAAAGAATATTGTGTGAAGATTTGAAATTGACAGGTGAAAGATCACAATAACTTAGAAAGCTGGGCTAAAAAGCAGATAAGATGAAGAAAAAATTCATGTAACAACTAAGAGAAATATTTTGTTTAATGACATTCAGACAACATTAAGAATGATATTGGCAAAAAAATAACTGTCTGGTTATGCAAAAATGAATATTAAAAATGTAAAAGATAAGAAATAAAGTGACACAAAGATGCATGTGACTTGATCTACAGAGACAGAGGAAAGAGGGTAACAGATGTTGCTGCTCCACCTCTCATAATACCTACTTGACAAAGGTGATTTGCGTTTGAGTGGTAAAGTTCCCTTATCCTTCCGTCGCAGCATAGGACTTTGAGTAATGCGCCGTTCCATAACTTTTTGCTTCAGAGCAGAGCGCACTTTTAGAATATTGGGTTCAGAAGCTGAAATCAAGAACATGACAGCATTGTTACAAAGCTTGCTCTACTGCAAGCAATTCCTGCTGTTTGTACTGCCATCTGGTGGCTTGTAAGACAAACTCAGGCCAACACATGACAGATAGACAGACAGGCAGAAAGAAAAAGAGAGAGAGAGAGAGAGACAAACAATATATATATATATATATATATATAAATAAAAGCAAAAGAAAATTTCTTTTTTTTTTTTTTTAACTGCAAAAAAATAATGATATCTCATTGGTTTACAATTCTGAATGCTTCAAATGAATGGGTACAGCGTTATGGCAAACTGACCATATATAATGATCATGTAATCTCTCAATGTTTTTTCTGACTCAAATTTCAGTTTTAAATAATATCTGCAAATTTCTGATTCTGTATGTGGTTTTCTTGAATCCTAACAGCTATATTAATGGTCAAATAATTCCTTTTTATTATTTCTGTAAAATTCTTATATCTTTTAATCAAATAAATTTTTGATCTCTCGTAAAGAAAGCGTGATTGTAAATTCTTTGTTTGCCAATAAGAAAATGACAACTTGCCCAAATGTAATCTGGAATTGAACAAGGGAGGAATATCAATCAAAATAAATAATTATAAGGGAAAGAATTTGTAATCATTCTTGCTACTGATTAGTATATGTTACAAACTATATGCATTAATATATTCATATTTTAATTTCTCTGAATTTATACATTCCATATTTATCTTCATTGGATTATAGCAGATTGAGATAAAATGAACCATAAATGGCAATGTTTTTCTGTCTGACCAGTTAGATACAATTGACTAGCATTTTATCCTGAAAATCTCAAGATGTTTAGAAAGAGAAATCATAAGAATAAAGAATTTCAATAGCCAACAGAAGTGAATTCAAAATAATTTAAATAAAACCCCAAAAACGCATATTATTATAAGGTTCAAACTGAAAAAGCATTCAGTATTTTTATCCGATATTTTAAGCATTCAAAATTTTAAAAAAATAGTCTTACAATGAAAGCAAAATATGGAGACTTAATGATTAATTAAATGCTTTCAGTATAAATAAATTTTAGAAAGAAAAAAAAAAATGGTGTTTAAATTATCTTTTATTTGAATTGATCAAATGTTCAGAAAATAGCCTCACAAAATTAGAAGCCAATTATATAAGACATACAACTCATGTGGATATATGTGTGTGTGTGTGTGTGTTTCTACTGATTATCTCCCAAATAGGAATCATGTAACAGTCTTATAAATAATAGTTTAGAATAAATTTTTGGAAAAAAAAAAAAAAAATTGATATTAATGTTTTATAATTTTTTTAACCATTTAAATATACAGAAAACAAAACATTACAAAGTTAGAAGCAAATAAACATTGGAAACTTTTCTTTTTAATGAATGTGCTTAGTTAACTTTCAGTTAAGAACCATAGATGCAATTAAGAAAATATGCAAATGTTTTTTTTTCTAGAGGACACCCTAACCTTTATATTTTCTTGAACCTTGGAATAAGTAAGGTGAACCACATAACACATGGTTTATTTCATGAACCATCAAAGATGAGGATAACACTACAAATTACTTATTGAGAGGAACCAACAAAATGAACAATTTCTTTATATCATATCTAAGGAAATATAAAACTACTAATGTTTGTTGGTGCATCTTTAAATTGTGAGATTTTGAACTTATCAAGGACAAACCAAATATAGAATAATGAGTGATCTAGTCTGGTACAAAGCCACATTTGTGGAGAGCATCTTAAGCATAGATATATACAAGGTGCCTTCCAAAAGTTTGAAGAATTTATGGCTCAAATTGCCTTCCTCAATGAAAGAAAAACTGACAGGAAAAAAAAATCATTTTCTGGTAGAATGATTTTGGGAAAGTGTGAAATGTTCAGCAACACACAAAAAATTGTGGACAACTTGATAAAGGAAGAGAATGATCAGTTTCTTCTAATTTTTAAAAATTAGAGACAGCCTCTCAGAGTGGACCCCATCACTTGACATGTTCTACATTTGAAATTTTGCTCTTTAGATCACAAATTGTTAAAAGCAGGAAAATGTTTTAAGCGATAAATCAACAGATAGATTATTTATAAAAAATATGAGTAAGACACAAGGCCACATAGGTGGGGAACCCAATGACAAATTCACTCTAGTAATAATGCACTGCCATGCTAGCTTGCATCAGTGAAACAATCAGTAGGCAGAATGATCAGAAATATGAACTTTTATTAAGTTTAGATTAATATGGCACAAGGCAATAAGAACTGAGCACCCAAGAAGAGTGTCTACCTCATGAAATTTTGTAAAAAATGAACAGAAATAAAAAAAGAGTATATTTTGGAAAAGGTAATTAACATGACAGATTCACTAGTATTTACTTGTTTAGCTTGGCACAAGGAACATATACAGATCACCCAATCAGGATCAAATGATGAACTCTGAATGAAATTTGGTACAAGAGAAAGAGTGAATAAAAAAAACTATCAACTGGCTGGTCTCTCTCAAATGTAGTTACAGGTATAATAGCTTTGTTGCTGCTATCTAAGCATCTAAGATAGGCAAACTACTCTCCCATAACTAAGTAATCATTTACTATATTCTTCATCAACCATCATTACATGTTAGTGGCAAGATGTTTTTGTTACAATATCTAGCAATAAGAGTGCAGGGAAAAGGGAATTCATGCCTTTCCCAAGGGCATTATTGTGAAGTAAACATAACCAACCTCAGTCAAACTTTTAGTCCCATTCCACAATTTCATTGACAGACTTTACAACACTTCAAACTGAAAGAACTTAAATGGTATCAGAATCTATTTTAAAATTTTCTTAACTTTTTCCACCTGGCTTGGCTAGTTCTGGCTGGATAAACATATGCATTTCTTAAACAACTGAATCTAATAATACCAACTGGCTATAGAGGGGTAGATGCTACTAAAGCAACTGGAGAAACATTTGATAGGTCTATAAATTTATATACTTCTGAACCTGAAACACCAAGATGAAAAAAACAAAAAAAAACAAATACATCAAAATTTTTCTTTAAATTCAAAACCATAGCATCCTCAATTTGTCTTCTTGAAATTGACTAATGATAGTTGAAAACACTAGGATATATGTATGGCCAATTTTTAAATACACTTAAAGTAAAATACCCATTATCTTGTATGAAAAGCAGAGAAAATTATGTGGGGGAAAAACCTTGTCTGTGGTCATCAATAAAGCCTGATTAAATGAAAAAAAAAAAAAAATTCCAATTGGGTTTCCAGAGTGGAACCACCTCATCTGCCATGGCTTGTTTGGTGACTGCCATCATGCAGTGAGTATTTGTCTCACTCTCTCTCTCTATATATATATATATATATATATATATATATATATATACAAACAAACAAACACACATTAGTCTATCACCTTTTAAGTTTGAAAGGCTTTTTTTTTTTTTTTCTAAACATTTTCAATATAAATATCAAATACCACACACACACACACAACAGCAGAAAAAAAATTGTTGACTATCAATGAATGTTTGTATAACGTCACAAAAACACATTAAATTTTGAATGTCCAGTAGTAGCCTCATTACCTGCGGGAGAATATACTCCAAGATAATCAGCAAATGACATACTGTAGACAGGGAAAATATATCTGGTTTGATACTATGTAAAGTGATGATTATAAGATTAAAAAAATAAGAAAATTAGACAAAAGAGATTTGCAACAACAAGATAGAAAAATTATAACAATATACTGTAACAAAAGTTCAAATTTAGCATATGATCTCTTTAAGCCAAGAACATTTCTCTTTTTCCTTAAAGCCCTTGACAGCTTCTCTGGCATTTCTGAATTGTCAGCATCAACACACTTGTACTTTGGGATCCTCATTAACTAAAAGCTTAGAAATTATTTACTTAAGGAGTTAACCATAGGTAATTGAAACCATCAAATGAAAAAGAGAAACTCTTGTAGAGATTTACTAAGTTTATTCTAGTCTGACAAGGCCATAATACAAAAACACCAACAAGGAACAAATTTAATACACTACTATGACTTGCTAACTTTCATGGTCCTCAAAATGCTATGATAGAAATAAAAATATATTAGAGAGTTACATTAGTTTTGCTTACAAAATTATAAACATAGTAAGATGTTTTGCCAAACTGCTTAGTAAGATGTTTTGCCAAACTGCTTGTAAGTCTTTTTCTTGCATTAATTAGAAACAGAAAACAAGTAATGCTTTGAATTATCTCTTTGGTTAAGACAATGACATCACATACTCTGTTGAAGTATTGGCTGCACCAAAACAAAAAACCTAGCATGGATATTCTTGTGGCCAAACAATGTATGATATTGTAATTATTGACTATTGGATGTCTGCAAATGTTGGCAGTATTTGTTTTTGCTGTGATCCTGTTCAAACAACAAGGCCTATAGACACAGAAGACATCCAGTTGTGATAGATTATGAGAGATTGCTTTTAGAGGCCACCAAAGATCATCAAATAGCACAACATGCCATTTCCAGACAAATGAAGTAGTTTTTACACTAAAATAAAGTGAGACATTGAGTTTTATATATATTATATATATATATATATATATATATATATATATATAGAGAGAGAGAGAGAGAGAGAGAGTATTTTCGAAGATTTTTATGAATTAATTTTTTATTTGGATTATTTTACTAGAGTCCAGGAAGAGTTTAAATATAAATTGCCCAATGTTTTCTAAACACTTAGCTTTCATAAGCCAATATCAAAGAATTTTTTTTGTCAGGAGATAAGGTTTATTTTTTTATACATATATATTGTATTTCTTTGGGTGTTTTTTGGAGTCATAGTTTTGTGTTGAGTGTTGTATCATGTCATTATGTGTTGTTGGGGGCAGTATTTTTATTGTTAAAGCTTCTAATATTTGCAGTTAGTTTTTTTTTTCAGTTTATATGGTATAGTATTTTGTATTATTGGTAAGTATTTGTCATATTTATTGT